AAACCCCTTCGAAAATGATAGGCTATTCAGATAGTTGATTATATAAAACTATATTTCTATCTGTAAAGGTAGTTTTTACTTATTAATCTTCCACTGATGTGGTAAAAACACATAGAAGGAGCAGAAGTGTTTCTGCTACCACTCGAATACCAAATGTCATTCAAGGGTTGGACGAGGTGAGTGCCCTTGGGTTGCTGGAATGATGTGACACCTTTGGGTTCTATAATAACTGGTCTCAGAAACTAGGATACTTCTTGACTTGTGTCTGCTTTTAAGTTTTCCACTGTCAGCCTGTTCTGGAGCTGAAAGGAAGCTAGAGATCATATAGCAAGCCTTTGAACTGTAAAGATAAGGAAACTGAAGCCCAATGAGACTGAATTGCATAGCAGAATCATGGAGCTGCTGACAGCACTGAGACTAGAATCCATGCTTTATGTCTCCATCCCCTTTCCCATGTGATCCTGTGTTCTTCCCTTTTCTTTTTACTCATGGCGGTACACCTATCTAGCTTAGCAGTCTCTTAAATTTCTTCTACCATTTGATGTAAGCCTAGAAACTGGAAAGGCAAACTTTTAAAAACGGAATGATTGAAGTTTTCTTTAGTAAAATTTAAAAGTTAAAGTGTAATAGACATTTTCTTTTGCTTTTTAACTTTCATGGTGGCTACTCCGAGGTCACCCTACTTTTTGAATTTTGGCCATGCAGTTGGAAGGATAGAATTGCCATTAGCTGAGATAGGAGACACGGCAGGATGAGGGGTGTGAGTGGAGAGGGCAGGGGTTCAGGTTTGGAAATAGAAGTTTCAGATGCCCACCAGACATCAGTGGAGATGTTGAGTGGGCAGTTTAGACATTAGTAGTCTGAAATTCAGAATAGAGATTTGGGCTAGATAATAAATGTGGAAGTTGAAAGAGTACAGATGACATTTAAGGCATATAAATCACTAAGAGATCACCAATGCATTAGGTATAAATAGAGAAGTCCGAGGACCAAGCATTTAGGTACTCCTTGTAAGACGTTGGGGAAATGAGGGGCAACTGGCAAAGGAGACTGGAAATTAGTGGCCATCGAAGTTGGGGAAAAACTAGAAAGACACCACTAGGGGAAACAGTGGGGTCCTGGAATCCAAGTGTTTCAGGGAGATGGGACAACTAATTGTGTCAAATGCTGCAGGGACTTGATAGATGAGTCAGTATGGCTTTGAGGTGCTGGAAAGCTGCACGCGCCTTTGGATGCTTAGCCCTTAGGTGGTAATCAGCGCGTGTATGCACTTTAAAAAAAAAAGCAACTTGTATTACAGATGATAAATAGAAACATGTTTAAATTTTAGAATAAAAGCGAACAATAGAAAAAAGTGATTTAATGGGAAGGTGCAACGTGAGCTGTACTTCAGAGTGAGAACCGTGGCTTGATCATAGATGTGTCGCTGTTAGAAATTCCAACTTCTTCTCACTCTGCTTCCACATATCTCCTGTGGACGCCAGTATAAATCTTCCCTGTTTTAACTGTTTTTCATCTGTAAAGTGGGTATGGTTACCTTGATCTCATGGGTGTTTGAAGTCTCACAAATCAGTTCTGAGACATTGTTTATGTCAGTGACACATAATCCATGGCCCATCCCGAAACTGTTTATTTATTTATTTATATTTACATTTTTTGAGACGGAGTCTCCCTTTGTCACCCAGGCTGAAGTGTGGTAGTGTGATCTTGGCTCACTGCAACCTCCGCCTGCTGGGTTCAAGCAATTCTTCTGCCTCAGCCTCCCGAGTAGCTGGGACTACAGGGACCCACCACCATGCCCGGCTGATTTTTATATTTTTAGTAGAAACAGGTTTCACCATGTTGTCCAGGCTGATCTTGAACTCCTGACCTCAGGTGATCCAGCTGCCTTGGCCTCCCAAAGTGTTGGGATTACAGGCGTGAGCCACCACACCCGGCCTGCTCTTTAATTATTTAGTGTTACATCATTCTATGTATATAACATTCATATTTAAGGAAATCAATGGGATTGGATTCCAGCACAGCACCTGCCCAATTTCGGGCTGCCTTTGCAGACTGCCCTGCATAGGACACCCTCGATCTTCCTCAGTGTTTGGGCAGCTTGAGACCACGTAGGCCTCAGAGATTCAGGGTTTTGCCTCTGCAGCAGCCTGTCGCACCTCATGTGAACCGTCTCACCCTTCTGTGCTCCAGAGACGTGGCTGTAGATGGCCTAGTTTTCTCATGTGTATGAATTCTCTCTGGTCTCAGTTTATTTGCATAATGAGATAGCAGTTTTTTTTCTTTTTCTGAGTATTAACTTTCAGCCATTTATTTTTATAGAAGAGATATTTCTTGGCTCATAACTCTTCTTTTCTTTAACTAACAGGCCATCTTCCCATTTACCCAGACGCCTCTGACAGTGTGTGCCTGGCCTGGAACTACAGAGATGCCCTGGCAGTCATTTGGTCTCATGAGTGCGTGGTGTGTTTCTTTGCTGGTCACACCCATGATGGTGGCTACTCTGAGGATCCTTTTGGTGTATATCACATCAGCCTAGAAGGAGTTATTGAAACAGCTCCAGACAGCCAAGCTTTTGGCACCGTTCATGTGTATCCTGACAAAATGACGTTGAAAGGGAGAGGCAGAGTTCCAGACAGAATTATGAATTACAAGAAAGAAAGAGCCGTCCATTGTTAGTCTAATTTATTTTGTTTAACTTGATAGAAAATGAGCTTTGTGTTTGTCCCTCCTAAACAAAAAAATAAAAATTCTCTGTCTCATTGTTTAGTATTCAGCTTGCATAACAAAATATAGTTTCAGTGTGTGTTGGTTGATAAAATACTCAGAAATGTTATTTTGGCTCATGTATCCATTGTAAGTTAGAAACAAACCAGGGAGGAGACTGAGGCAGGGGCGAATAGTCTTTGTAAGGGGTATATAGTCCTCCTGAGGGATTTTATTTGGCCTTACCTGATTTTTTTTTTAACTTTTTACAAGGAGAACGTATTCACATGTATTAACTATGTAACTTCAAGTTCACTATATAAGCTCAGGTAAGCTTTTTCTATTCACCCCGCTGTGTAAACGAGCTTTGCAGAATTTTTGTTCAGAATACGTATACTTGGATTTTTATAGGCTTGTAGTCCCATTTTGTAAACAAAATTGCCAAGAGTTGTTTCATGGGTAAGTGTGTGGCGCTCCCATCCCTGTAAGAAGGGCCTCCAGAAAAGTCATGTAGTCCTCTTGGGATTCATAAGACCAAGTGGCAGTGCAGCCATGTGCCAGCCAGCTTGGTCTGTTTGGGCCACCAACCACTGCTGTGTGAAGCTACAGCAGGTAAATGAATTTACACTGACTCCCTTTAAACACTAATGGGACATGTTTAACACCATTTTCATATATGCTAAGGCTTATGTGCAGAAACACTAGATGGCAAATGGGGACTATTCAGATGTAGAGAAAGTTTGATTCAGGGCCTAAACAACTATAAGAAATAAGCATGCCTGTTGAATACATGGGCACTATAGCGATATAAAGGAGTATTAGCTTTCTATGGCTGCTGTAACAAATTCCCACAGACCTGGTGGCTTAAATCAACACATGTTCTCTTGCAGTTCTGGAGGTCAGAAGTCTGAAGTCATTTCCACTTGGCTGAAACCAAGGCGTTGGCAGGGCCGTGCTCCCTGAGGAGGGTCTAGGAGGAATCCTCTCCAGCCTCCAGAGCTGTACTTCTTGCATTCTGTGGATCATGGCCCCTTCTTCTATCTTCAAAGCCAGCAGCGTAGCATCTTCAGATCTTTCTTTACTGTCGTATCATATTCTCTGCTGTCCATAGTCAGATCTACTTCAGCCTTTGTCTTGCAAGGACACTTATGGTAACATTTAGGGCCCATCCAGGTAAACCTCATCTCAGGATGGCTTAATCACAGCTGCAAAATTTATTTTGTGCTATAAGGTTTGTGCTATAAGATAACATAGGTTCCAGGGATTAGGACATGGATCTCTTTGAGGGCCATTGTTCAGCTGACCACATAGGTGACTATAATGTACTCTTGCACTCATAGACCTTACCATGAATTGGACATCCGTCATTCAAATGTGTGAAATTTGCTGTTACACAAAGAAAGGACTGAGGGAACATGGAAGATGAATTTAATTTTGTTTGAAGGGATTGGGGATGACATACAAAATGAAGAAAAATGGCTTGAATAAGTGGGGAAGAGTATATCAAGTAGAATAGCAAAAGCAGAGGCATCGAAGGATATGCCAAAGTTAGACATGGCCAGTCATGCTGTGACGATTCACCAAAAAGGTGCCGGGCTGGGGGCAGGGGGATATGGCAAGAAATACGGCTGAAAAGGGCAGGCTGGGGCTGTATTATGGAGAGCCTTGAATGATGAGCCAAGAGTTAGAATTTAACTTGCCAGATAGTGTGGAGCCCTTAAAGCTTTCTGAGCTGGGGAAATACATGATTAGATTTGTGTGAAATAGAGAACAATGGAAGAAAAATGTGAAGGTGAGAAAGATTTTAATAATAAAAGCTGGGCATGGTGGCTCACGCCTATAATCCCAGCACTTTGGGAGGCCGAGGTGGGTGGATCATTTGAGGTCAGGAGTTCCAGACCAGCCTGGCCAACATGGTGAAACCCCATCTCTACTAAAAACACAAAAATTACCTGGGCATGGTGGCAGGTGCCTGTAGTCCCAGCTACTTGGGAGGCTGAGGCAGGAGAATCGCTTGAACCCAGGAGGTGGAGACTGCAGTGAGCTGAGATCGCGCCACTGCACTCCAGGCCGGGGGGACAGAGCAAGACTCCATCTCAAAAAAAAAGATTTTAATAGAAATATTAAATTTAATTATACTGAAATTCAATTTCATTAATAAAGACTTCAGGCCGGGCGCGGTGGCTCACGCCTGTAATCCCAGCACTTTGGGAGGCCGAGACGGGCAGATCACGAGGTCAGGAGATTGAGACCATCCTGGCTAACACGGTGAAACCCCGTCTCTACTAAAAAATACAAAAAACTAGCCGGGGCGAGGTGGTGGGTGCCTGTAGTCCCAGCTACTCGGGAGGCTGAGGCAGGAGAATGGCGTAAACCCGGGAGGCGGAGCTGGCAGTGAGCTGAGATCCGGCCACTGCGCCCCAGCCTGGGTGACAGAGTGAGACACTGTTTCAAAAAAAAAAAAAAAAAAAGTTGCCATCCAGATGCTTAAATATAGGACTGTCCAACAGATATGCAATGTAGGCCACGTAAATAAAAGTGAACAGAAACAGATAAAATCAATTTAACAGTATATTTAACCCAATATAGCCAAAATATTGTTTCAACATGTAATCAATACAAAAAATATTTTACATTCTTTTGCTACCCATGTTTTTAAAATCCAGTGTATTTTACATTTAAAGCCCCACTCATTTGGACAATAAAATTTCACTGAAAATACTTTTATCTGTATTTAGGTATCATAAAATTTGCAATTGGAAAGTTAGATTCAAATACCCAAGTTGTTCTAAACACGGTAAGTTTTCTAATCATCAAGTACCCATTTTAAAATGAAAATGGAAATGAAAAAAACAAAACCTCTCCTCCCTAGGGTTACTTTGGACATCCATTTGTAAAGAATGTGTATAGATTTTGACCTTATTTCTCATTTAGAAGGTACTTATATTCCCTATTTCCTTCCTGATTGGTCCCTAATTCCTTTATTCTATCTAGCTTCCCTTTCTTTCCAAGACATGCCTGCTCATTTGGTTCATCTAGAGTTCTCCTTGAGTTCACTGCACTGTGCCAGATCTGGATAAGATTAGTTTAGGGCTGGGCTAGGCATGGTGGCTCACACCTGTAATCCCAGCACTTTGGGAGGCCGAGGTGGACAGATTGCTTGAACTCAGGAGTTCAAGACCAGCCTGGGCAACATGGCGAAACCCTGTCTCTACGAAGAATTAAAAAAAAATTAGCCAGGCGTGGTGGTGCACACTTGTAGTCCTAGCTCCTTGGGAGGCTGAGGTAGGAGATCACCTGAGCCCCTGGAGGTCCAGACTGCAGTAAGCCACGATCATGCCACAGCACTCCAGCCTGGGCGACAGAGTGAGACTGTCTTTAAAAAAAAAAAAAAAAAAAAAAAAAAGATTGGGGTATAGCCCTCTCTTGAACCTCTATTTCAGTATATTACCCAATCCCTGCTCCCCTCTATTTTAATCATGGACAGCCCTCCGTAATCTTTCCGAATACTTTATATCTTCGGAGTGTTCTTACATTATCTAGATTGGTCCTTGCTACTGTATAAGTAAGTAGATGTGGCATTAATCCTATGTTATAAAGAACTATCCACCAGGAGGTTTATGTATTTGCCCAAATTACATAGTTACAAAGTTGAGTTAGAACTCGTATTTTTACACTTCTATTCTCTAGCCTTTTCCACTACATTATGACACAAGACCCTGCAGAAAGTCTTCCGAAAATATCAGACTGTCTCTGACTTGTCCCATCCAATCTTATATCAAATTATACGCATCCTTAAAAAGTTATTTGGAGTTTTAAAAAACTATTAGCCCAAATTACCTGAAATAAACTCCTGGCTTGTTCCTCTAATGTTCATAAAAAATTGATTGAAAATATTCATTTTAAAAACAAAGTTCTTGAATTTATTTAAATTACTGTCTTGCAATGAGTTGGCCAGGAGGACCGCATTTCCTTGTTAATATATATGTAGACCCATGAAATAAATGGGAAAAGTGTGATTACAATGGCAATAGCCAACTGAATTCTTCCACCAACTGGAGTCCTATAAAGACACAAAAATTATTATAAATAAAAGTCCAATAAAAATTATGGATTGCTTTGGAAACAAGTATAAAGACTGAATTGATAAAACACATAATTACACTTTAGTATGTTCTCAGGTGTTTTATTGAAATATAACTCATTGATTTATAGAAATTAATTATATATATGCTAAATATAAATCCTTGTTTATGTGTGTTACAAATACTCTATCCCACTTGCTGTCTTTTGAGGAAGTCAGTGATTAATTTGACAGTGTTAAAGTTGGTCTTTTCCTAATGATTTTTGTGTTCTGTTTAAGAATTTCCCTCACCAAAGTCTTGAAGGTATTATATTCTCTAGAAGTTTTATTGTTTTTTAATCACATATTTATTAAAGACATTTATAGTTTGTTAAAAAATACTGCCCTGATATACACAAAATTTTCTTGATAATGGTAATTAAAAATTACCCTCACCCCACCATGTCCACACCAATATTCAATTTAGATTGGTTAAATCTTGAAGTGTAATCCAGTAAGACTGAAGACCAAACACTTCAGGTCCTGGGCAAGATAATAAAATACTCGTAAGCCCTCCAGATCCTTGGATTGATTGACATCAATAAGGGAACCAATTTTTGATGTTGTGAAAGAAAGGTGTTCATCTCCAATAATGATTTCAAGCTCCTGCCAGCCCAGCTGGTTGGGAGGAGGCCATAACGCATCATCATCTTTGATAATTTCCCTGTCATAAATTATACTCTTCAGTTCCTCCATCACGCTTTTATGTACATAAGCCTCTCTTCTGATCATGACATCATTCTTACAATTGCTGCTGTTGGCTTATCTTAATTTCCCGTCTGGTCAGAACTCAAACTCCAGAAACTCGTGGCTGAACTTGCCCTTGTGCGCCACGTAGTAATGTAGATAAAAGTCACTCTGGATGGCTTGCAAAAGACAACCGAGACCGAACTTCTAAGAGAAAGCCGCACCTCCGCGGTCTGTACCCGACACTCTGTTTTGCTTTTTTATAATAGATCTGTGATCCCCTTGGAATTGATTTTTATGAAAGTTGTGAAGTAGGGGTTGTTTCACTTTTTTCCAAACGGATATTGAATTTATCCAAGCCTATTTATTGAAAAGACTGCCTTCTTAGATACCGTGAAGTATCATCTTTGTCATAAGTCTAAACTCTACATATGTATAGATCCGTTTCTAAATTCTACTGTTCTATCATTTTATTTATTCATCCTTTTGTCATTATATGTTTAGCCCTCCAATTATTTAGGTCTTCTTCAATTTCTCCCATAATGTGTTATAGTTTTATGTGTAGAGATTTTGCATATCTCTGCTAGACTTATTCCTAGGGAGTTGATTTTTTGAATGTTTTTATAAATGTTAACTTTTTGTTTTATCACTTTCTGTTACTTGCTGAAAGAAATGCAGTTAATTCTTGTATCCTGATCCAGTGATCATATAAAACTCACTTATTCTAGTGATTTCTTAGATTCTTTTTTATTTTCTACACACGTATTCATCTCACCTACAAATCGTGAAAATTTTATTTCTTCTTGTCCAATCCTCGGGCATTTTATTTCTTTCTCTTGCCTTATTTTACTGGCTGGGACAATAGCTAGCATGGCATTGAGTACAAGTGGCCATATGGCCAACCTCATCTCATTCCTGATCTCAGAGGGAAAGTTTTCAACTGTTCACCATTAAGTCTCAGGCTTCAGTGGATCTCTTCTATCAGGCTAAGTTCCCTCCTACGCCCATTTTCTGAGAGCTTTTAGCATGAATGGATGCTGAATTTTATGAAATGCTATTTCTGTATGAATCTACAAGATAGTTTATTTTCTTCTTTCATTCCATTAATGTGGTGGAAAACATTGGTTGGTTTTTTAAAATGTGAAACTAACTTTGCATTCCTAGAATAAACCCAACTTGGTGGTTGGGTTATATATTGCAGGATATTATTTGCTAATATGTTGTTTAGTTTTCCATCTGTGCTCATGTAATTTCACTTTTTTGTCATGTTCTTGTCAAGTTTAGGTTACCTGTCCTCATAAAATTAGTTGGAAAGTGTTTCTTCTTTTTCTGTTCTCTGGAAGTATTTATTGAAAGTTGGTATTATTTTTTTCCTTAAATATTAGGTAGACTTCTCCAGTTATGCCATCTAGGTCTAGAGTTTTCCTTTAGGAAAAATTTAAATTATGAACTCTATTTTTTTTTTTTTTTTTGAGATGGAGTTTCATTCTTGTCGCCCAGGCTGGAGTGCAATGGCGCGATGTTGGCTCACTGCAACCTCCACCTCCTGGGTTCAAGCGATTCTCCTGCTTCAGGCTCCTGAGTAGCTAGGATTACAGGCGCCTGCCACCACGCCCAACTCATTTTTTGTATTTTTAGTAGAGATAGGGTTTCACCATGTTAGCCAGGATGGTCTCAAACTCCTGACCTCAGGTGATCAGCCCACCTCAGCCTCCCAAAGTGCTGGGATTACAGGCGTGAGCCACCGCACCCAGCCCTATGAACTCAATTTCTTTAATAGTTATGGGACTGTTCTGAGTATTTCTTCTTGTGTAAATGTTGGTAAACTGTATTTTTTCAAGAAATTTGTCTGTATTTTCAAATTTATTGGTGTAAAGTTCTTCATAATATCCACTTATGATTTTTACAATATTTATTAGATATATAGTAGTATTCTCTTTTTTATTCCTGATATTTGTTATTTTTATTTCCTCACGCTCTTTTTTCCTTTTTGTCTTGTCAAGGCTTATCAATGTTATAAATCATTTTAGAGAATCAATATTTGACCTTGTTAATTCTCTATTTTTATGTTGATTTTCTTATTTCACTGACTTCTGCTTTTATGTTTATTTTCTTCTTGTTTCTTTGGGGTTTAACTTGCTGTTCTTTTCCTAACTTCTTGAAATGAAAAATTCCTAACTTGCTGGAAGCTTAAAAAAAAACGTACTTACGGCTATATGTTTCCCTCTAAGCAAGATTTTTAGCTGCATCTCACACATTTTGATACGTAGTATTTACCTTATTCA